GCAGGCAGAGGTAAACTCTGCTGCAAAGCTTCAACACAACTACAGAGTTTATATACACTTCCAGTCACATCACAGGTACAGGGCAATTGATGAAAGAATGCAGACATTACAATAAGGTTCTGAGGTCATCACATACAGAGCAGGTAAAGGAATGTCAGTCAATCATACAGAGACAATGAGATTACAATATTTCTAATTGCAGTGTATTGACACTTTAGTTGAGTAACTTGAACCCATCTCCAGGTCTGCTTAGACATGTAAATTCAAGCTACTGAGAAACTATGAACTCAGACCCTTATCTAGACTCTAGACATTCTGAATGACCAGGGCACATGAAGTCCTCTGGGCTAGGAAGATACTTCCTTGTAAACTGTGAATTCCAACAATGATTATTTACAATGCATATTTGGACTAAATGGCCTGTCTACTGTAGCTTACAGCTAAAGGTGAGAGAAAGGAGTGGGGAATGAAAGCCATTTTAAACAGTGACTTAGCTTGGTTTTGAAAAGAAGTACAGGATTTGATCCCACAATGCAAAAGCACACAGAAGTAATGCTTTTCAGACAGGATTTATCCAAATTTTCCCAACAGAAGCAAGTTAGTGAGGCAAGAAATCCTGAACAAAAAAGAGTGGGGAATTGGGATCAGCAGGTTAAGAAAAGTGAGAACCCTGGAAAGACTGTAAAGAAAAGAGAGAACCCCATTCCTCTTTCCCCATGACTAGCATGTCCACAGGTTCAAAAGGAGTGCTCACTTCTGATCGAGCTGGTCTCCAGCCATATTTCCTAAAGCAAAATACTAAAGGAACGATGGTATGATCATTTCCATTGCATTCTGGTCCAGCAAACACAGCAGGAGCCTACAAACCACAAAGTCTTACTGCAGTTGTGGTATATTAACTACGGGGTTTTTAAAAAATTGGAATACAAGGGTCTTTTCAGCTCAAGTAAGCAAGCCCTCCAATACGTGGGAGAACTTTTCCCCTCCTTAGTCTTCAGTGATAGTCTTTTGTAGCTGACAATGCACACACAGAAGAAGGTGGGCCAAAAAGTGTCAAGTGTTTTCTATTTGGAATATGCTCCTCTCTATATTTCTCTTTTTGTTGGCAAGGAATTATCATGGTCTGTGAGCTCAGAACTGTATGGTGCTCACCTTGCATTGCATTGCTGGGGCACTCCATTTTAACAGGATAAGCAGCATTTCTAGAGAAGTTCATCTAACTGGTAGACGTTAGCTGCACCTCTACAGCCTGGCCCTGCTTTTACTCTTCGGCATGAAAGTCTGTGTCTCAGCCACAATCAGCAAGATATGTTTCATACACAGCTCATGATTCTGTGACCAGAGTTTGCGACATCCTCCTCACAAGCTGTAACTCCTCTTCAAAAGCATAATGATCTTGGAAAGTCAACCACACCAAGTGTATCACGAGAAATCATAAAAGGCACGCTCAAAACATGAGGGAGGCTTATAGGCATAGTATATGAGCTTTCCCCATTCCTTGTGTTAAACAGCACTTTTTATTGCTAGAAGTGACTCCAGTGTAAGTACATTTTGTCTCCCTCATTCTTAACCAGTTCAAGAATGCAAAGTCCAAGAATGCTCCCACACTGGGAAGTTCAGAGAATTCAAATGCAGCCTCTCTTCAACAGAGCAAACTAAAATCTGCAGAAGTCTGGGATTCCCTGTGCCTCTGAGAAGAAAAGTATGCAGAAGCATTTGCTTTTTAGCACATCCTAATTGACTTTAGTGGCACAGGCATTCACAGTATTATGTGAGAGTTGTGCTTCTAGCAGAGTTGACCAGAAATCTATAACTTCGTTCACACATTGGAAGAAGCAATCACCAATCATTAGAGTGGCTCCGGAGTATTTCATACAACTGGCATTTTGGAAAGGAACATGAAAAGCTAAGTAATGATAATATAATCCGTGATGCAAAGAGCTATTTTAGGCTAGGGATGGGGGGAATTTTGCTCCATTCACTTTTTGAGACAAACTTAAAAAAAAAAAAAAAAGCATTTCCAGAATCAATTAGGAACTGTAACATAATGTCTTCTCAGAATTTGCAAATACAATTGTCCACATATGAATTTCACAGAAAAATATATACATTAGTTCAAAGTGTGCACAAAATTCAGATCTGAGAAAAAATAAACATACAGATACACACACGGAAAAATTGTTTGCAAAAAGATACATAATTGTAAAAATGCATACAAATCTGTATATAAAGAGTAATTAACACAAAATTGCATTGTAAGGTTTAAATATGTATTATTGAAAGTGATGTGAGAACAAGATAGAACCTATTAAAGACTAAAACATTTACAAAGGAAGAGAAACCAAAATTAACAGTTTCATCCATCCCTAGGTTTAGGTATACCAGAGTGCTTGCATATTTTTTGACTTCATAAAATTGGGTGGACAGATATGCCAAAACATGCTGTACTATAAACTGTTACTGAACATTCCAGTGAGCTTCAGAGCTACGGCATAAGGATCAAAGTACCCATGGGCACGAAGTATTAGCTGTACTGACCTTCCTCTTCTGAACATAATTAATGCAAAGATTGCCACATAATATTAGATTTATAAAAGTATATTGGCCTTGATCCAGCACTAAACCTGCATAAATGCAGGCACTACTAGCCATGAGAATGCCAAATCCTCCGATGACTCCAAAGGGCATTAGCTTGTCCATAAATCTGCTTCTGTATGGAAATCTCTACTGCCCATTTATGGTAATCAAATCTACACTTAGTTGTTTTTATATAGTTGTATACAGAAGTATTTAATGGTTAAGGGGGGACAGTTGATCTGCATTTCTTTCAGATATATGCAAAATCAAAATAGTCACAGAATTACCAAATATATTCATTTTTTGAAAAAAAATGAAATTGGCAGAGGGATAGGGAAGTTGATGCTTTTTCATGCATTCCTTATAAATAAATTGCATATCTGTCATAAAAGGATTTCCAAGTTTGGTGGGATAGTTCGCTATATCAGAAGGCTGCCTTTTAATGCTCCAGTTATGTTACAAAGAACAGTTTGGTATCACCAATTAACATGATGTGAATTATGGGTTCAAAAAATTCAATTTGTGGCTATCCATAGCAAATTATGAGAGCCGCCTGGATTGATTGATATGGAAATTGAAACTAATTGATCCTGCCACTATACAGCCTTTTATAAAATGAGACTAGACAAGATACTATTAAGCATTCTAGAGTTAATCAGAGCTGTATGTCAAATTAATCACTGGCAGGTCATTGAAACAACCCATGGCCTGGGACTATACCTGAGGGGCAGCCTCTCACTGTATCAAGTGATCAAACCTTCCTTTGTACACTCTCATTAGAACTGTGACATAAAAGTGGCACCTTTAACACAAAGGCCTCTAATCTTTGGAAAAACTGTCCTTAAGACACAGGTATGGCAGCTTTTGGGGCCACAGCCTTGTTCAAATAAACATTGGCGTGGAAAATTAAAGGATTCAGAAAAACATCTGGGCAAATCACAAAGTTTCTTGGAATTTCAAATGAGCAGCAAAATAACAGTATATTTCCCATCCCTCACTTTACGAGCACCCTTTCTTATGCTTCAGATCCTTCTGCTGCGTGTGTGCACACTATCTTAGGCAGTTGGGCCCAGGATGTGTGTTTCCCAGATGTGGTTCATGAAGCGGGCTTCCTGCTACTGCTGCCCCACACATCCATTCTGCCCCGTGATGATCCATTTGGCTCCTCATCTCTTCTCTTTTCTCCTTCTTTCCCCACAACCTTTTTGCTCTACCCTCACCTCCTCTTCCTCAGCACTGCCTTTTCTTTTAACTCTTTTCCTCCCCTACTTCTTCCCTGAGCAACTGCTACCAACACATGGCAGCAAGGCACTGAAGTAAGATTCAACTGCCAGCCCACTCAGCTTTGTATATGGAACATGGAGAGAGAGCAACTTATTTGTCTTGTCACAATTTCCACTCTAAAGTTTGTGTCAACTTGTGCCAGTATCAGTTTTTGAACTGACCTCTGCACAAAAATTCAAACGTATCTTGTATGCATTTCTGCAGATGTTTTCATTGATGCTGCACCAAACCCCTGAAAGGCAGCTAATGGGAAGAGTGACAGTTGAAGGCAGTGCAGGTGGAGGATCCCACACAAGCAAAAACAGGGACTGCCAAGCCGTGAATGTCAGTACCATGCTGTAGAAGATAACGGTAAAACACTTTTGAATATTTCATGCCTTGAAAACACTATGATGAAATAATCCAAAATCAAACAACAGATAGCACCAGAAGATGAGTCTCCCAAGTCAGAAAGCTCTCAAATAGATACTGGGAAAGAGCAAAGGACAAGAACAAATAGAACTATTGCCAATTTGTAACTAGATCAAAGCCAAAAGGACATTTAATTACCGACATCCACAGAGCCAAAAGGAAAGGCAGATGTTGCACAACACGTAACATTGGAACATGGGATGTGAGAAGTATGAATAAAATCAAACTAGAAACTGTAAAGCAAGAAATGGAGTAGTTAAACATTGCAGTACTTGCCATGAGCAAACTAAAGTGCACTGGGATGGGACCCTTTCACCTGCGCAAACACAAAGTGTGTTATTCCATAAATGGCAAACTCAGAAGAAACAGAGTTGTTCTAACACTAAGGCAAGGCATAACACATGCAGGAAGAGATTCTAATGCAAATTAGAGGCTCTAATACAAATTCTAACAGAATAATCTCAGTTAGAATTTGCAGAAAACCTAGCAACATAACCGTCATTCAAATCTATGCCCAGCAACAGATGCTGAAGAAGAAAAAAATGGACAAAAATTATGCAGGTGCTTACGTGGAAATGATAACATACTGAAAAAAGACATGCTGATAATCCTAGGTTACTTGAATGCAAAAGTATGGGAGGAAAGGAGAATCAAGTCCTGTAGGAAAATTTGGCCTAGGGATAAGAAATGAAGCAGGAGATTGACCCACAGAATTTTGTGAAGCCAACAATCTGTTTATTGCAAACATATACTTTGTGCACTGGTCCAGAAAGTTTAAGGCAGAAAAGAAAAGACAGCCAAATATAAGATGGATTGACTCCATAGAAGACGCCATAGTGTTGAATTTACAAAAGCTGAGCAGGGCTGTCACGGATAGAACATTTTGAACTTATGGTGACATTTTACATATAGGGTCACCATAAGTTCAGAATGACTTGACAGCACATAACAAAAAATCTTTTCAATTGTTAATTTTTGTCCCTGTATATGTAATTTTATAATAGCAATCCTTTGACAGTCAATGACTGCTATGATCACTGTTACTGCATTTCCAGTTAGCATTAACACAATGAGCATGCTCAGTTTTAAGATGTATGTCCTGCGAAATGTACTTCACACTTTTTTTTGTTTTCTTCTGCCTTTTTTACTGGCCCATTAAATCCTTTAATGTTGCAACTCAAAATAGTAAAAATGTTTCTCTTCAGTTAGGTGTTCAGTTATGTATTAATTTAAAACATGCCTGCCCATTATTACTACTCTATAAATTCATAATACACCACCATCTTCTAATGATTTGCTCAGTAAAGTATTACTTCTCAGGAGATCAGTATTCTTATTGGAGAGGCAGAAATGTAATATACCTGGTAATGTACTATACCTGGTAATAGAAATAATGTTCAATTTTTAGGGGTCATAGGTGGGTCAATAGAAAACTTCAAAAGTCATGTGGTACTGGAATTTTTCCCCTTTTGAAGTCTGTTCTCCAATTCTCATGTGCTAACTCATTTTCAGTTTGTTCCACGTTATCCAAGCAGGTAAAACTTCCTTCTTTGTTTTGATCACAACCTATTTATGTTTAACCTGAAGTGCAATTTTATCATTTTTACTTTTTTACAGTACAGTACAGCCCAGTTCTACTTTTTAAACAGTAAACCCTACTTATACTTTATGCCTTGCTTGTTTAGCCAATCAGTTAAGAATGTAATTTCCGTTCTTTTCTCAATAAATACAGAACTCAGATTTGCCTAAAATGTAATCACCTGACTATCCACTTGGAAATCTGGATTTTCTCATACTGCGTCCACAATTATATTCTTTGATCTACCATTGTGAAACACAACTAAGATTATTCCTATATAATTTGTACTTTTTCCACAAACATTGAATTCATATGTAAGACATTATCTATACCAGTATTATCTGATTTTTTCCATTATTATGGGTAAAATATTACAAAAATGTTAGAGTAAATCCTCACCTTCTTTCTTATGGACCCCTCTAAATTTAACACTTTACAACCTTTGTTTGCTATGAATTCCCTCTAATATTCCCCTTAACTGGTTTTGTTTTTTGTTTTTTCTTGCTATTGCCTCTTGTACCCTGAAATCTATCTGAACCTTTTTTATCTTGTTGACTATAAGTCTTTGTTGTTTTGCTCTGGTATTATTTTATCTGGTTTACCCCCTAAAATGGGGTCTGTTCTATTTATACTAAGCTTATTTATACTAAGCTATGATCTAATTCTCAGATCAATGTGTGATGCAGGGAGTCTGACCTCATCTTTCCCACTTGAAACCAGGTGTCCAGTGTAGGTTGGAGCCAGGGGTCAGACTAGATGGCCCAGGAGAGCCTTCTGACTCACTCTGTTTCTATGTCTCTTTGTTTCTATTTGCAGATGCATTTGCATTTTTTTGTTTTGTTTTTCAAATAAATTCCCATCTCCTGCACTCCAGATAATCAAAAGCTGCTCCTTGGTGTATCCCCAAGGAAACCTCTGGGGCACTGCCCCCCAAAGTAGGGATGTCCCTGCAGGTCGCTTCAGCCTCAGCCCTCCATTCCAAAATGTCAAGGCTTCAGCAAGAGCATAAGTGGCAGAGCCAGTAGCTCTGGGAAGAAGCACGGCCTGAGTTGGTGACCTAGCACTTTCCTTGTCTGGAAGGTGTGTATGAGAAATATATGGACTTTAGACTATGGTTTGCAAGCAGGCATGTATTTTGGTCCAGGCAAATTGGACAAATGCTGGTCAAAAAGGCTGAAATGTATTTTTCAATCATCCCTACTTGCACATCAAATATCAGCAGTTCAACTTATAAAGTATATTAAGGGAGTTTTCAAATTTAGAGCCCACCACTCAGATCCTTAAACCTCCACTTCCATATGTCCGTATCATCAAACATAGGCAAATTTGGCCAACACCCATTAAGTGCGAGTCTGATCGTCATCTTCTATCAATATTTTGAAAATGACTTCATAAAACCCTGCTTTTGAAAATATGTTTTCCTGGCATTTGGGTCAAAGGACTACAAAAGAAAGGGCCTTCTTTAGTAAGGTTAAAACTTCTGATTCAGATGGTTCCTGGCTCTTATTTCCAGTTAGGCTTTTGCTGGGGTGAGATAGAGATGAAGCACAAATTGTTAGGTATCTGTAACATTGCTTGCATCAACACCGCATGGTTAACAGAATTAATGCTGTAGACAAAATGAGATGGACTGCTGTGCTTGAGATGTCTTTTCCTGTTCCATTTTCTCTTCCCCCCTCACCTGGAAAGGCAAAAGGGCATCTGACCTTTTGCTCTCTCTTTCATCTGAAGAAGCATGTTCCTCTTTCTCTCTCCTGTTCTAAACTAACACTGAACTTTCCTTTTGAACCAAGAGATCCTGCATGAACACACCAACTCTTCCTTTCATGAAAGTCACATAATGGACTGATTATGAGTAAATAACCTTTTTCACCTTTTGCTGGCAGCCTCCCAGTGTCGATTCTCATAGATGCAGGTGCAAGCAACAACCTCTTAACTAAAGCCACTGCTCAGTGCTTACTTCTGCTGATCCTATGCATAAACTAAATATAGAACAAGTTCCCAGCACAAATCAGCCTAGTCTTAATGAGATCGCTTGCAAACAGCTGAAGATTTGGTAATTGTTGAGGGCTGTTTAGATGCATCTACACATGCAGACATTTCAAGATGAGGTAATGCCCTGTCCTGACACAAGCCCTTCAATCATATGTATAAATCCTTTCTAAAGCCAGAGCTGCTGGTTCATTCCGAGTTCAGCAATAATTATTTTAGAGTGTAAGCCATGCTTTCTTGGACCACTTCGGAAGCTTAGGAAGACCGGAGTCCTAGATACTTGTATTTGAAAACCAAGTCAAATGATGGACTGTAGTTTCTTGGCCTTGTTTCCAAATATGTTTGAGAAGCTACATTAATTCCATTAAAAGGAGGACATCTCTGGCCAGACCCATGAGGCTATATACCTACCCAAATGGCAAGGTAGCAACTGAATTGTTTGCTGAATTACAAAGAGCTGAGACGTGACCTGCACAAAGATGCTCCAGTGACTTGACTTCTGAAGCAAAGCTGCTTCAAAAGGAGGAAAGACAGAGCAAAGAAGCAGCAGGGGAGAACTGGTGCTGGCTGCTTTCCCTGCCCACAGCTTTCCTGCTCCAAGGCGCCCAGCGATGTCACAGAGGCCCTTCCTTTCCAAGGGTCCTCACTGCTTTTCCTTCATCCAGAACCCAGGATTACTAGGAAAGCCAACCCATTTTTTCAGTATCTTTGGCTTTACTAAGGGGAATAAATCCATCCTAAAATACTTAAAGAATCAAAAGTCACCTCCTGTAAGATTAATTGAAGTACCAACTTACAACACTGCCAGCTTCCAGTCTCTGTCTACCTAAATCCCCCAGAGATTCAGTTTGCTGAAGCATGGCAAAGACAAAGCCATTAATGCAGTAGTGGGAGCAGGTTACTGAGAAAAGAATACACCACTTTCCTGAAGTTTCTGGACAAAAACATACCTACAAGGTTGATAAAATAAACATAAAATGTCAACTTTTATTATTTACTCTCTTACATGGAACCAGAAGATCCAGTGACATTAGGTCAGTTTTTCTCCATCTGCTGCACTACAACTCTCACCTCATTCACTAGTCAGTACATTTGAATTAGACATCAAACCAACCTCTTTTCACCCTCCAGGCAGAAGCTGCAGCTTTCAACCCAGGAGCATTCAGCTGAAGACTGCAACCCAAATCTGGGCACCCGCAAACCGATGCAAATACATGACTAGCTTTAGGGAATCTGATGGGGCGAAGCCAAGTTCAACCATGTATTTTGACCCAGGGGAAGGAAGTTTGGATGGGTCAGGGTAATAGCAGCATTGCTGCATGACTTACTCCATATTGGCTCCCAGTTGCAGGGTTTCCAGGCAGGGAGTTCCAAAGATCAAAGGCATTGTGGGAAGATCCCTCTTTGGTCCTATTCAATCTCATCTCATCAAACAGACGGACACAGGGAAAGGCCACTGAGGGACATGGAGACAACGATGTCACCTCTGCAACAACTCAATGTTGATGTAAACAGGATACAATTGAGAGGCAGTGTGTGTGGCACTGTGGCTCCATTGCAGAGTCTGGAGACAGGAATCACAAATTCAGAGCCCTTCTCTGCTGGACAAGCAACTCCTGCTGAGCTAAATCCACTTCACAGGACTGTTATCTTGAGAAAATGCCACTTGGGGCTCCTTGGATCAAGGACAGGACCAAAATAGGTTTACATTTTGTAAACTCGTGATATGACCCACCCCATGATAGATTGGAGATCATCATAATATTCACGGCACACAGTATATTAGCCATTTAGGATGGCGTACAGGCACACCAAACAGGGTACAGAAACAGAGTGAGTCATAAGGGGCCATCTAGTATGACCCCCCAGCTCCAGCCGGCTCCACTCACAACATACCTACCATGTGCATGTCTAGCCCATCATGTTCAATCCTCACTGATGGGACCTCAACCACCTCCTGTGGAAGCCCATTCCATACCCCTGGGGTCCTAACTGTCAGGAAGTACTTCCTGGCATCCAAATGGAACCTTGGTTCCTTGAGCTTGGCTCCGTTGGAGTGCGTCCTGTCATCCTCTGCAGGGGAGAACAGATCTCTACCCACCTCCGTGTGACACCCCCTCGCATATCTATAAGTTGCCAACAGATCCACTTGGAGTCTCCTCTTTTCCAGGCTGAAAAGACCCAGTTCCCTCAGTCTCACCTCATAAGGCTTTCCCTGCAATCTGGCCACCATCCTTGTGGCCGTACACTGCACTGACTCTAACTTGGCTATATCCTTCCTGTAATGAGGGGCCCAGAACTGAACACAATACTCCAGTTGTGGTGCACCAGAGCCGTATAGAGTGGCATATACCCCTCTTGAAGCCACGGTTCTGGCTATGCAACCAAGGGTGGCATGCACCCTCAACCACCATGTCACACTGCTGACTCATGTTCAGCCTGCAGTCAGCCAGTACCCTGAGGTCCCTTTCACAAGTGCTGCTCTCCAGCCACTTGTCCCCTAGCCTGTACTTATGACACCCATTCCTATGCCCCAAGTGCAATTGCACTTATCCACATTGAACGCCATCCTGTTGTCTCCTGCCCACTTCCATAGTCTGTCCAGATCCTTTTGGATCTGGAGAACCTGCTCCTCAGTTGTGGCCACTGCTCCAGTTTTAGTGTCATCTGCGAATTTGATCAGCAGACTGTTCACTCCTTCTTTCATGTCATTAATTTTATATTGTTCTTTATTTTATATTGTTATTTTTATATTGTTATTTTTGTATTTTACTTCATGTTGTGAGCCGCCCCGAGGCTTCAGCGAATGGGGCGGCATAGAAATGTTTCAATAAATAAATAAATAAATAAATAATGAACAAATTAAACAGGATCAGCCCCAGGACAGAGGCCTGGAGGACCCCGCTTGTCACTGGCCGCCATCCTGATGGTTCAGACTCGGACACAACTTCATGTAAATGTTTAGCATGGGGCGTATCCCCCACTTTTCACATCATAAAATAGTATTGGACTTCAGTGCACTGGTGAACATACAAGTAGAGGTACTGTGCTGAAGATAATTTAACTTCTAGTGTACTACCAATGGATGAAGCCATCATTACTTGGGTCAGTAACTAGGGTAGAGACAAACTCTGCAGAAATCCATCCCTCTAGTACTCATGGAGAACAGAATGGAATTCCATTGAGCTTATCTACTCTCTCTTATCTACAGACATGCTGGTTCCAGGTGCACAAGCTATGAATCCCATGAATGCAACAGAACCAGTGGGACTGCTGCACAACTACTGAATACTGCCCCCAGGAAGTAAGATTTCTCAGTAATTATTGAGTTTTCTTTCCACCAAGATGGTGGAGTTTTGGCACGGTTCACCAGTGATATAAACCTTGCTTACTTGTCCATCTTTCTAACAGCAAGTCAACATTCTTGCAAAGCCCCACCTGACACTTCCAGACTGTGAGTGAGCATTTTCAGAGTATTACACATCACTTTTTGTAAAAGATGGTCCAGCGCTTCTTCAGCACTCCTCATCATACTTGCAGATAATGACTTTGGGGTTAGTGATTCAGAACTGTTTTATATGACTCAGCACAAAATATACACAGAGTACACAGAGCAAGACTTGATACTTTGGTATTGCACAATTCAGCACTTGGAGGGAATTATAGCTTGTTGCAATAAGCAGTTCTTTTGCATCACATTTCTAAATCATAACTGGGGCGGTACATGGCTTTTTGATATAAATGGCACATAATATGGAGACAAAGAGGCGAACAACTCAGTATTTTACTTATCATGCATCAGTGCATGCTGAGCATGATTAATTTCAGAGTGTATGATCTGGCACCTCCTGACAACTCTTTGGCACATATCTTTTGCAAATTGCAACATGGTGTGCAAACCACACCATAGCACTTTTGAGCATGGCACAGCACTTTTTACACAGGGTTACCTGGCACTTTTTACAGAGCATGCCTTTGGATTGACCAGTTCAGAATTATTTGATATTATATGACTCAGTACAGAATCTGGAGAACACATGGTCCTCTGACAATCTCTGACAATGACTCAGCATTTTTGCAGAGGGTAAGCAAAGAATACCTATAAAGCAACTTACTTGTCATAGACCAAAAGAGGCTGTAGTTTCTTATTTGCACCACACTTGAATCAGTCGTATCTATGACAGAATTGATAAAGATGTGGTTTGAAATAAATTTCTGATAGAATCTGTTCGACCAATTAGCAGTACTAAGGCACAGGGACTACACAATGATTGCATTCACAAAACACAGCAAACAACCCTATGCCGTTTACACAGCATGCAGAGTTTTGCCTGAACACTGTCAGACAATTATGTGGTTGCCTGGGCAGCTCTGCACTCCCCATTCCATCCTCCTGGTCTTGCCAGGCATCTTGACAACCCCCATGAACCAAATTGCCATCGCTTCCCTATTTTTGCCTATGGACCTCGGTAGCCTGCTCCTTACTGGATTGCTGCAACCCAGAGGCATGTTCCCCCTTCCCCCTCCTAATTGTGCCTGCATGTCTGCAGCACTTCCCAGCCACTCCAGCCCCCACAGAGATTTTTAGTGAATGAAAGTGAACCATTTTGCCATAATTTTCCCATCTTCCTCCATGTATTTTCACATTGTCCCCGTTTCCAAAAGCAAGCAGGGAAATGGACACTTTACTAGGCCAATGGGAATATAGCAAGAGAGTTGTTGCAGTAGAGACTGAGGGTTAGAAGCAGCCATTTCTACAACCACTCTTGCCAGGGGACTCTATGGTGCATCCATACCAATAACGGCAAAATGGCGATCGCAGATGCAGACAACCAGAAAAGACATGGTGAAACATGGAGACCTTAGAACAGACTGTTGATTCTCCCCATGATTTCAAAAAACTAATGCTATCATGTACAAACCCCAGAACTGCATCTGGATAACACAACAGATCCACAACAGTGAGATTTCACTGTGGCTTCTCCTGACATGTAAACCCATCCAGTGGCTGCAATCCAGCTGACCATCCTTTCCTCTATTTTGAGCATATTATTCAATTTTTTTGTTCATAATCCCAACACTTATTTTAATTCATGGCTCTTTGGATCCAGACTGATTTGTCAGTGACCCCAACCCATCAAATTATGCCACGCAGCTCTGTGTATACTGATTCATTTACATAAATCTGTACCACTGCTAGCTATCTGTGTATATTCTTCATCAGCTATAGATGATCCATTCTGGTCAAACAATACACCCATGTTCCAATTGATGTAATTTCTTGACATCATAAGGGAATGTGCACGTTTCCTGAGCATGTACAAAATGCTGTCAATGAATACACATTCTGATGAGTTTGAAACAGTACATATTAACTGAAAATATACATGCTGACCAAGTAATATTTATTTATTATTTATTTATTTAAAAATTTCTATGCCGCCTCATTCGCCGAAGCCTCGAGGCGGCTTACAAAAAATATACACACTTCTGGCTATGCATACACATTCTGTGATGTCCCTTGGAGATTTTGTACACTGGCCAGCCCACGCACACCATTTTGCCAGGATAATCTTATGCTCCAGAGTTTCCTGAGCTCTAGAGATGTGTGAAGAATCCGTTTCAGGGTGGGAAGCCAGCAGGTATCCTGGGCTCGGCTGCCGGGACTCCAGTCCCCTTTGCAGCGGTCCCACGCCTGAGTGCTTGGCAGATCTGCCCAGAGTTTGTGGGATGTTCACCAGTAGCAGAACCAGCACAAGCAGCCTCCCTCAACCAGGGCACTTGCCCGTGGCCCCCATACTAATCTGTGTATGTTAACCCTTGGAAAATTGGAAAACTTCCAAAATTAACCGTAGTTGTAGTTGTCGTAGGGGCCCCAGTACACTGCTTTGCCCGGGGCCCATAATGCTGTTAAGATGGCCCTGCCCTCATCTGTGCCACCTGCAGCCCTCTGATGCTGAAGAAAGGTGCCAGTTGTACACTCTTCATTCTGCGAGTGTTTGCAGACTCCCTTGTTGCCTGGCTCACTTTGCAAGACTGAGCCAAGCATGAGAGCAAGCCTGCAAATACTGGAAAGGAGGAGTCCGCTAGGATTTTGTGCCAACCCTATTGAGCACTATACAGTTTAACTAGAAACGATGCAGAATGCTATTTTGCACAGTGCTACAATGTCACATTTTCCACATTGTCCTGAAAATATGCAGAGTGAATGTTTATTCATTCAACTCCATTCAACTCACATTAACCCCAGCAGAGGTATTACACTGTTTTGTTTTACTAATCCAATGCATATTTGTCAAACTAATGTTAATTGAGAGCCAAACATCAAAATATAATTGGAGTTCCCAAATTCTGCTTCAATAGATCACATAAAGTTGGTCAGAGCAACTTTTGACCTACCCTTCCTATCAGTGCTAGCCAGCATAGTCAACGATGAGCGATGAAGGGAATTGCAAGCTAAAACATCCGGACGGCCACAAGCGGCCCACTGCAGGAATAGCCCATACATTGGAAGAGTGAAGTTTCAATCCTTAAAATTAAAAGCTATTTGTAATTTACATTTTGGGAACTACAGCAAAGAGTGTATTAGGAATCTGCATATAATATTGATCTATTATTAAGAGATTATTATTAATAATAACAATGATGGTGTAGATGTTCCAGTCAAGTATGTTGCCTTTCTCCACTCATGTGAATTTGTTGTTGTCTGAGTAACCAGTAGTAGACATTGTTTATATCCTTTGTCAACTAAATTTTGGCCTAATTGTAAAGTGGAGATTGAGTGTGAGAGTACAATTTGTTCTACATAAAAACTGCAGACCTTTAACCAAATGTAGAAGTTTGATATGACCAAATAAACAATCCCCAATTAAATTTGCACAGCCATTGCATCTTGATGTTAGCGCAGCATTTTACAAGCCTTTTTTGGAGACTTGCACATATATAAGGAAACTTAGATCAAGAAAATTTGGAAATGAATCAGTGTGTCCACATTTCATTGCTACACAACACACTGAATGTGTTTGTATCAATGAAGAAAGCTGTAAACATGCAAATGGTAGTGAGAAGAGGGAGCTGATTGGTTTGTTAGCTGTTAGTACAGCAAATGCAATTCAATCTGCACACTCAGAACAGAGTGTTTTCCAAGTGTCCAGGGGATAAGTCATTTGGGTAGCTTTCTTTCAGAAGAAAGGTCAAAAGTTGCTTGTACACTGTCATATTCCCCACCTTCTCAGCCTTCTGAAGATTCCTTTCCTGTTCCTGCCGGTGATGGAGTTCAAGAGAAACCCAAACATGGAACATTATACAGAGAGATATTTACATTAGCTCAAAGTTAATTAAGACTGTTGTTTGTATTGCTCTTGCTGGTAATTTACTCTTGCTCTGCTTGACTAAAGTCACTCCCAATGTTGTTGTGAAATACTGGTTGGGAAATGCAGATTTTCCTAAAACACAACAGGTTCTTATGACATGATTTGTCTGGTCAGTATGTTGGCCGAAGTATTCTGGATTGCAGTTTATTTTGATTAATTTGCAGTTGATGTATTAACCTTAGAAGGTTTTCATTGAATCCATTGATTTGGATGATTTCATGGGAATATTTTTGGCTCTAAGGAATTAGGGTTTGGTTTCACTGACTTCAGTTGGACATATTCTCAGCTATGCTTAGGATGGTAGCCCAGAACTTCAAAGTACTGTGTTCAATTGGTTATAGTTTTCAGCACATGTGGATTTACCTCTGATTAGTTGATCTCTAATTAATCTATTCCTTTGATCAAGGGGTTCATTTACTACAGTGGTGGGGAATAATTCTGGTCTCAGAGGATGAGTTGCCCAATTCCATGGGCTGGATGATGTCAGTGAGCAGGACCCACCTCTGAAGTCCAAACCCACCTCTGTCGGCATTAATCCCATCCTTCCCCAACCATCCATTAGAACTTTCTCCGTGCAGCAAGAGACATGGAGCTTGTGCCTGTCTCTGCACTCAAAAATGGACTTGGCCACTGCTTGCAGGAGCTCCAGGCACTGGCTGAATCCCACACCTGCTTCACACATTGCTCAATGTCCTGACTGGGACAGTCTGCAGTACATGAAGGGGTAGTCCTGCTGTTACCTCTAATCAGTGATAGGAAATAAAGCAGGCAGTTCCTTCTGAATGCTGGAATGGTAAAGGAACTTAGCCAGAACTTGGAAGAGCCTCTCAGCGAAGTCCGCCAAGTCACACTCCAGTCATTATCCTATTTGGATAATGCACAGTGCACAAAGGGGGGTCACCGCAGTTACCTCCGATCACGGATCAGAATTAACAGAGAGATTCCTCGGTAAAGGCCTGCAGAGAGAAGATGGAGCCTGAGGATCGGGGGAGCTTGAGAAAGGGGCAGGGCCTAGGACCAAGCCTACCATTTTGTTTAGTCTTGTATGGCAGTTCTTTTGCAATTTTTCTTTGTGCTTTCCCTCACAGCAAGCAAGAAAGCAAGAAAGAGCAGGAAGTATCTTTCTTCTTATCAAATGACTACTCAGATGGAGTAGAAGCCTAATTCTGTGGATCTGAATAATAGTGATAAAGTATTAAAAGTGATGCAGGTGGCGCAGTGGTTTAAACCACTGTGCTGCTGGACTGGTTGACTGAAAAGTCACCAGTTTGAATCTCCACAATGGGGTGGGCTCCTGTTGCTCTGTCCCAGCTCCTGCCAACCTTGCAGTTTGAAAGCATGCAAATGCAAGTAGATGAAAAGGTACCACTTTGGTGGGCAGGTAACAGCGTTCCGTGCACTTTGGTGTTTAGTCATGCCGGCCACATGACCACAGAGACTGTCTGCAGACAAAAGCTGGCTCCCTCGGCTAGGAAACGGAGATGAGCACCACCCCCAAGAGTCAGACCTGACTGGACTTCACATCAAGGGGAAACCTTTACCTTTACCTTTTATTACAAGTGATGGCAGATTAAAATAAATATTCTTATCTGAAATTTGGATACTGACCCATTACATTTATAACAAAGGATAACAAACATTACTAGAAATCAAATGAGAGAACCAGAAAATAAAGTCACTCCTTAAAGGATAATGTTAGTGGTTACGACACTGCATATATTGTAAAATTAGCAGAATGAACTGAAAAATTAGAATACAAATTCATGTATTTATTTATTCATTTATTTGGGGTATTTCTAACCCGTCCAATCACTACATGTCTCTGGACGGCTTACAAAAGTTTCCCTCTTGCCATGATAAAATGATGCATTATCCACATGGGAATAGCAATACAGTTAAAGAAAGCAACTCTAAAGCTGCTAAGCAGCATATAAATGGGCCATCAGATTGCTCTGATTTTCATCGGTAAGATTGGAAAATTGCTCCATCCTCATAGCAGGTGGTTGGCCCCACTTTGCCCTCACAGCAGGCATGAAAGTCCGTCCCACCTGGGTCTCCAAATCTGTAAGAGCGGGCTAGGAGAAGGGCTTTGGGAGCATGCTGAGGGGTGGAAGAGAGGAGACTGGCACCACCAGGATGCAAGCTATATTGGTGGAGTCTCAGCCTCCTTCCCTCCTTCTCTAACACACCACACTTAGACAGCTGAGCTTGCCTGTATAACTGCAGGATGGGAGGAGCAGGAGGTGGCCTCCCTTGGATCCTCCAAGTTCAGAGGGTCACAGGAAGCCTCAGTTGATTATGCCTTGAATGTATTATTCTAATTTATTGTATTTTATTATATGATGGGATATGCTGAGCCTCTCCAGGACCCAATTTGTGTCAGACTTCTTCCAGTGCTCTCTATCTCTAAGGAAGAAAGCTGAGCCCAGAAGTCCACAAGCATTCACAGACCCCCAGCTGCCACTCCCGGTGGCTAAGACCTTTTTATTTCAACAATATTTTAATAACTTTTAACATCAGCTATATAGGTTTTAAGCTGCAGTAACGGTGGATCTGGATTTTATTTGTATTATGTTTTATTTTATTTTTCTTATTTATGTAAGCTGTCCTGAGGCTATGCGATGGGATGGCATACAAATACTCTAAATAAATAAATAAACAGACTGGGACACTGCCAGTGCAAAATGAAAAGGGCTACAGAAAGTGGGCACACCAGCCCCCATTCCCAACAGTGGTGCTGCCTGCTCAGTGCACGGGGTCAATTCCCGGTGAGAGCCCCACAAACCCTTGGCAGGCTTGCAGGATCTCCGGCCCACTGCAAAGCAGGCCAGGGGCCAGGAAGCTGCAAGCCAGGGGCTCTGGCAGATTTTCTGCCCAAAGCGGCTCACTTGCATCCCTAATTATATATTATGGTTTCATTTTTGTTAACCACTTTGATAGCTCACTAGGAAGTGATATAAATTTGCATAATATATAAACATATAAATATAAACATAACATAGAAACAAACATAACATAGAAACATAAACATAGAAACATAACATTAAAAATACAGTTTCCCAAATAGCTAGAGATAGTATAAATTGGTGGGCATAGAACTACCATAACTATCAGGCTGACCCTCAAAAGGCAGTTTACTCCAACTTGGTATGCTTGCTGGGGATGATAGGAGTTGTAGTCCAACACAGTTGCAGTACACCAGCTTGGGAAGGTGGTCTTAAAGTCACCCCAGGGAGGAACAGAAAGGACCGTAAAAGGGAAAGGGAATCAAGTGGGGAAAGCAGGTCGAACAGATGAGCTGAAAGGCTACTTGAGGAATTCAGTCCTTGTGAATCCTCATGCAAAATGACGTAATCTGCACCTGCGGGACTAATGTATGGAGTGGCCTGTAATTATCCTTTAGATTTCACACTTCTATGGATTTTGCAATACAGTTGTCAGCTCAAAAGCCATCTGAAAATGTCTTTTAAAATGTGTGTTTTATCGTCAAGATGTGTAGAAACACACACTTTCGGAAAGGCGTACACTTGGGTATTCTGTGGGAAAG